TGCCACTCTGGGTATAGGGGGCCGGCACCCTACGCACTGAGCCACAGGCGCTGCCTAGCCATCATCTATTTTTAAAACTTAATTTTTTTTTTTTTAGAGACAAGTTGTTGCTCTGTCTCCCAGGCATTGGTATAACCACAGGTCACTGCAGCCTCTATCTGTGGGGCTCAAGCAATCCTCTTGCCTCAGTCTTCAAGAAGTTGGGACCATAGGTGTGTGCCACTATGATCAGCTAATTTTATTTATTGTACTGACAGTCTCACTATGTTATCCAGGCTGGTCTCATCTCCTATTCCTGTCCTCCAATGATCCTCCCACGTTGGCCTCCCAAAGTATCAGGACTACAGGCATGAACAACCATGCCTGGCCCATCCACTTTTTATTTTTAAATATTTTCTATCTACTGTTGGTTGAATCCAGAATCCAGGGACATGAAACCCACAGAGATAAGAGGCTGACTGTATAAGGGCTGTCTGGAAAGTATCCAGCCATTTTTCATATATGTATTACATGGCTGGATACTTTCCAAACAGCACTTGTATCTATGTAGCCCTCGAATAAACAATTGCTGTGTTGAATGTATGCTATTCAAATATTTAAAAATGTAAATACATAGTAGAGTTTCCAACCATTTTTCTAGTATCTCACCCTTAATTATGAAAGAACAACTTTTACCAATTATTTAAGACTAACACAGTAAGTCAAGACTAAATACATAGGAAGAAGGTAGTTAGAGGAGTCAATGTAGGAAGAATTCAAAATAGTATATACAAATTTTTTTGTTGTTGTTGCAGTTTTTGGGCGGGGCTGGTTTTGAACCCGCCACCTCCAGCATAGGGGCTGGCACCTTACTCCTTTGAGCCACAGGCGCTGCCATATATATACAAAATTCTTACAGATGACTTTCAAAGATGACTCCAAATAGAGGCATACCTGTTGATAGAGGGGAAAGGATTTCTAATAGTAAAGCCTGATAAAGTTACTCTTCCCTATATTCACAATGTGAGATTTAAAATAAAAAGTTTTGCTTCCACTCAAATGGTTCTCAGGACTCCCATTTCAGCGTAAAAAGCTTAGTCTTTAGCAGCCTGCTAGGCCCTACAAGATCTGGCTTGTTGGCTTCTCCTTGCTCTTTCCCACACCCATGTGTAGTGAATCTTTCTGTATGAAGTCTTTTAAGTTTCTGTTGCCTCAGCATCCCTTTTTAAATATTTTTTTCTTTTTTGAGACAGAGTCTCAAGCTATAGCCCTGGGTAGAGTACTATAGCATCATAGCTCACAGCAACCTCAAACTCTGGGACTCAAGTGATCCTCTTGCCTCAGTTTTTCTGTTTTTAGTAGAGTAGGGCGCCGGTCTCATATACTGGAGGTGGCGGGTTCTAACCTGGCCCCAGCCAAAAACTGCAAAAAAATAAAATAAATAAATAAAGTAAAATAAAAAGAATTAGACTTATCAAAAACATGTTTTGCAAACAAAAGTGATTTCCAACATAGAAATGATTACTTGGTTTCATCATCATCTAAATATGGGCAGAATAAAAAAATTTCCAAACATTAAGTCCCTTAATTTTTACAATGCTGTAATATTTGGGGTAATGGCACTCCAAAATGAAAAGATAAAAAAACCCCAGGAAAACATAGGAGTATAGACAGATTCCAAGAGCAGACCTGAGTTCTTAGAATGGTCAGTTTTACAGGCCAAGTAGCTATTCCAGATAGGAAGGTGACACACAGGGTGATGGACACAAAAGGAAAAAACTGTTAAGAGTATCTACAGGTTGTACATTTGTAAGTGTATGTAGGGAAAATAAAATTCTCATTATCCACAAAAATAAGTCAGTGGTGTCAATACAATAAAAAATAGAAAAATTGGGCGGCACCTGTGGCTCAAAGTAGGGCGCTAGCTGGAGGTGGCAGGTTCAAACCCAGCCCCAGCCAAAAAACAAAACAAAACAAAACAAAAGAACAGAAAAATTTGATAAGAAATATGGAGGTAGATAAAGAATCCACTAAAAAGAGAGCCAAGTATATGGTAAGCATTACACTTAAATAATAATTGATACAAATTTAGGTGACTGGTCTAACAAAAAAAAAACTTATTGGCGATTTTAAAATATTTTATTTAACATTTTAAGTAATAATTCTCAAAAATACTTCGTATTAAAATGCAAAACACCTGACAATTAATATTCAGATCTATGAAAGTGTTATTATGAACAAGTTTTCAGTTGCTAAAAATGAAGGAAGAAAATCTACTCTGATTTTCAGTGGTAAAATTTAAATTACTGGCCAAGCTACCCATAAAAATTGGTTCATTATCTTTATTTTTTTGAGACAGAGCCTCGAGCTGTCACCATGGGTAGAATGCTGTGGCATCACAGCTCATAGCAACCTCCAACTCCTGGGCTCAAGCGATTCTCTTGCCTCTGCCTCCCTAGTAACTGGGATTATAGGCACCTGCCGCAAGGCCTGGCTATGTTTTGGTTGGAGCCGTCATTGTTGTTTGGTAGGCCCATGCTGGATTCGAACTCGCCAACTCAGGTGTATGTGGCTGGCGCCTTAGCTGCTTGAACCACATTATCTTTCATAATCTGATACTGAACAGATTTTAAGAGGTTCTGAATCTGTTCCAGTGTAGAAATAAGGCCAAACGGGTTCTGTGAAAGAATCACTAAAAGTATAGAGAACAGACCTATCATTCATATTGTAAAAGGAGATCTCACCCATATCATAGTCCAGAAAAATTCCAATCCTATTGGGTTTTACCAGTGGCAGGACATGGGCTCTCTTAGGGCCTGATACTACATAGCCACTCCTCATATATCGCCCAATTGCCCAGAATCCATCCAGAACTGATGGCTGTTCCTGCCAGTTCCTAACAGTGTGGTCTTGACATATGCCCAGTATCCATTTAGGCTTCTTTCCCACATCTACCTCCCAGTAATGTCTGCCAGAAATAAATCTCTGAGAACCTAGGACAGCAGGGCAAAGATCAAATCTCCTTGGGCTACAACCAACTTTTTGCTTCATTCTTCCGTATTGTACAGCTTTTCTATCCTCAGAGACAATAAGTTGAGGATGTGCTGTGACAACATCTAGAATTACATCTGCTTGAAATGGCTTGATAATTTTGTACAAGCCAGAATACTGGCGAGGAAGGCTGAGGCCATATTTTGTTAACCTAAATGAAAAGAGTTCAGGGTATTTTAGCTTTTGATACCTGTGGTTGATACTCTTAATGTGTTTCAGAAATTCCAGGTCTGACTGCACACATTTGCCCTTTATCTCCCTCAGAAGATGTTTTAATGAGGAAATCTCATTTGAAAATGTTACAATGTTTTCCTTTAGTTTTGTTAAAATGTCCATCTCTTCATCTTGCATCTGTTTAAGAATAGTCTCTTGTTCATCCTGTAAAAACAGTTTAATTTCCTCAAACTCAGAATTGATTTCTTCTCTCCTACATTCTACCTGCTTTTTCAGCTCCACTGCCTTGCTGCCTTGTAGAATGATCACTTTTTCAATTCGTTCTATATTGGTCTTTAGAGGCTCAATGCTACATTCTAGATTTTTTCTGTGGTAAGAGGCAGCTTTGCTAATGGAGCTAATGTAGTGCTTCTGATGTTTAGTGGAGAAACTGCACTGTATACATAAAATCTCTAGATCCTTCACACAGAAAAGGGTCCGAAGCTGATTATGCTTTTCACACACAGCATTCTCTTTTTGCCTCTTCCTCTTGCTCCTTCTGATCTGCAGTTGCTTAGCAATTTCAGTCAAATTACGGAGCTGAGGGTTCCTCCTGAAGTTTCCATATGGAAAGCAAAAACGGCAGACAGGACAGGGAAAGGAATCATCTAGATCCTTCCAGGATATACTGAGGCAGGAGCGACAGAAGTTGTGCCCACAGTTGATGGTCACTGGGTCTTTCAAGTACTCCAGACAGATGGGACAGCTAGATTCCTCTTGGAGGTCCTCTAGGGCTGTCACAAATTCCATGGAGCTGTGAACAAAGGTAGTGAATAAGATAAACTCCCTTTGGCAAGACCTGCCTCTGCAGAGCTCAATCCCAGTGAGAAGTGGATATCCCTCCTAGACCTTGCAAATCAACCAGGTTTCAGTTGCACTTTCCTGGCATGCTGAGGACACTCACTTAAGTCTTCTTTAGTCCCCTGATCCTTAACTTAGAGAACAACAATAATTCAAAACTTACAGCTCCATCAGGTTAGCCCATCAGAATCTAAATTTCTTTTCTTTT